GACGTCACGCCAATTTAAGATCGATATTCAAAAATACAGATTCTAAATTGTACAAGTTGAAGCGTTTGTTTTAACAGTTTGCAAGACCTGCAGGTAGTTGCTTTCAAGCAGAACAGGGACAAACAAATTTAGCGGGAGTGTTTACGTGTTCGGCGTAATGACGTACAACGTCCTCCACAACTTCTGTAGTCCTAATCAGCCACTTGTTAACAACCATCGTTTTTCAGACACGTAAGCTCTTCAAAAATCACCAGTGGGGTCACTGCTGATGTATTTAATGTCGTAGAACAAAATGTGATCCGTCTCTTAAATTTGTGTCAACCACAGACCTTATTTCCAGCTATTTTCCAAAATCCTATGGAGAAATCCCATTGACTCTGAGACGAGGGAACCGGAAGTGGTAACATGCTGACTCACTTCCGGGTTTTAGGACTCGTTCCTGCACCACTATTATACACCACGCTAAAAACCATTAAACAGAGATGTTGAGAAAATGTTGTAATAGTTTAGCTATTGTAGGACAGCAAAGGGACCACAATATAGATTTCACTTCAATACATACCCAGCTTCTTCCCTGGTTTGACAATCGTCATCAAGCTGCTCCCATTGTTTTCCTTTGTGATCGATTCCAACTCCTTTAAAGCTACATACAACCACAGGCACAATTAATAAAACATTATGGGTTCCACTAAAAAAATAAAAGAAATACCAACCTTCTGTATAAGAGGTGAAATTAACTGATGAGAATTTGGCAGGCTCCAGGATCACTTGCTGTAACAAGAAGTCATAACGTTTTACATGAGAATGAACAAAAGCATCCGTTTGGAAATATGAACAAGATAATCAACTTCATTACCTTTATATCCATGTTTGCAGTACCATGAATTTCCTCTGTTTGCTTTGCAAAATTAAGCATCAGGGAGCCAAAGTCTTTTGTGTAAGTGTTGAAATAAGCCTTCGACGACAAAGTTGAAGGGTGCCACGCTTTCTGCAGAGAATAAAACTTTGATGAAGACAAACAATAATGATGGATTCACAACTACCATGCTCTTTTGCCAAATTAGACATCAGCATTCATGTCATGTATATTAACTTTGCGTCAGAGGCACTTACAAAGTAAGAAAAGACGTGGTCAAAGCTCAGGACGTGTTTGATGATCCCTTGGGGGGTCAAAGTTATGTTGCAGAGCGTGCAGAGGTAGTATCTCTTCTCCGATTGCCCGACACAAATGCACTCAATCAGGTGCTGCATGCCTAAAAGACAATGATCAGAAAACAAAAAAAAGGGGGGGGAACAAGTTTGAATTTTATCTTATGGATTAGAGTAGTAATTTGATTCTAGAAGACTGCATACGACAGCTGTAAAGAGAATACCTTTTTCCATTAAGGAAGTTAACAGTGGAATTTTTCTGAAACATTTACTGACCAAGAAGTGGATGTTCTCTTTTGCTGTCTTTTAGGTATGTTTGTATTGTCATCCTCTCTTTCTTGAAAACTGGGGGGAGAGAAATATATTTCAGTGATAAAGAATAACGGAAAGCTGGAGTAAATACACACAGTACAAACAGATGCAAATATTCAGTATATTGAGATATCAGAACTAAACTATATCCAGAAAAGCTACAAAATGTGTCACCATTATACATATTATAAAGATTGAGTGATTATTACAGGTAAAACAAACAAATGTCTGCTGCTTTGATTACTTATAACAGAATGACAATGCATTGCTTCATTTTAATAATGGAGTCCTAAGAATAAATGTGCATACACACCTTGATGCATCTTGGGAAGCTTCTCAATTTCACTGAGTGTGCGAGCCACTGGAGAGTAGGATCAGATCAATTTCAATAATATACAATTGCATAGATGTTTCAAATATGATATAACTATAAGACATCTAACAATCATATACCCTCTGAGTAATTGCTTTTTTCCACTTGTTTAAACAGTTCTCCAGGCAATTCCAACAGCTGCAAAGAGAAAATGTCAAATCAATCAAACATGACGTCAATCAAACAAATCTTGACGCAAAAAATCTTTGAAGTTATCGAGTTACTCGGCTGCTTGAATATAAAAAAATGCATTTAGTTATATGATTGCAGGCCTTAAGCTACAGACCTGTAGGTCTCCAGTCGTGCTTTCCTCATCGTTTTCACTCTCTCTCAACTCAGACCTCAGGAAGTATTTATTTGGATTTTCAGGCATCCAGGAGAAACTCAGTGCGTTGGGGTTTATGTAGCTCTGAAATACAAAATACAATTAAATGTATGCTTCCAAATTCTAAACATATTTGCATATTTTTGTAATGATGATCCGCACTTACAAAGTTGTTTCTGTGGTGGTCCATTGAAGTGAGGTGCGATAAAATCCTCATTGATAGAAACTTTTCCTCACAGACATGGCAAATGTAAAAATATGTTTTTGACTCTCGACTGAAACACAACGATATGCCTGGAAAAAAGCACATTTAAAACTGAACAATTACTCTGATAGAAATTATTATATCTGAGTTTTCTGCAGCTGATTTTTTTATTCAAGTGGAGCGCTGTGTAGACAGGCGTAGGAAGATGGTGTTTTCCTCCAGTTAGCCTTTAGCTGAACTTTTGTTTTCCTCTGTAGCGGTCTGTTTTTATTTCCTCTTTTAAAAAGGTTAAACGGTCAAGACAGTCTATTTTTAGTTTTCCAGACATTCAGACCTTAGCCTCTTGTCTCTCAGATGTTCAGCAACAAATAATATACTTTTTGGGATACTTTTTTTTACAAATATTGGCCTAAACACAAACATGGAAAATAAATAGCGTCATTTATGTTAAGGTATACAATCCTGTGTATGGCAAGCCGATTTAGCTTTTATTCATTTCTGGAGGATATCAACAAATCCATTCTTACTAGTAAGAATGTGAATTCTTCATATCAAAAATGCAATTCTTACTAGTAATAATGTTTATTTCTGATACCAAAAATAGAATTTTAACTAGTTAGAATGCAAATTCTTGATATCAGAAATTCAATTGTAACTATTTGTAATGTGTATTCTTGATATCAGAAATGCGATTTTAAGCATTGTTTTTCTCATTCATTTCAATGGGAGTTGGAATTTGAACTAGTCGAAAATGCCAATTGTTGATATCAGTAATACAATTTGAACTAGTTCAAAAACTTTTTTTGTTATCAGGAATTCAATTGTAACTAGTTATAAATAAAAATTGAATTATAACTAGTTACTATTGAATTGCTGATATAAAAAAATGATTTTTGAACTAGTTCAAATTGCATTTCTGATATCAACATTTGGCATTGCGACTAGTTGAAATGTAATTCTTGATATCAGAAATTGGTATTTTTACTAGTTCAAATGTAATTGCAACTAGTAACAATTGAATTACTGATATCAGAAATTGGCATTTGAACTAGTTTAAATTCCAACTCCCATTGAAATGAATGAGAAAAACGATGCAAATCTCACTAGTTAAAATCGCATTTCTGATATCAGAAATACACATTACAACTAGTTACAATTGAATTTCTGATATCAAGAATTTGCATTCTAACTAATTAAAATTTATTTTTTTATATCCTCCAGAAATTAATAAAAGCTAAATCGGCTTGCCATACCTGTGTCAGCATTGGTTATAAAGACTCTGCTCTTAGGTAGAATGCAAAATCAATTTGTTTCTGGATTTACATCAAATGCAACATTTAATGAGACTTAAAATAATAAACTGTTGTTTCTCATCATATTGCCATCACTCATTCCAACTCTGCTGCAATAAAGGCCTGGTTTGTCTAATGTTGGGATGTATGAGAGAAAATGTTAATCCAATCCACTTTATTGATATAGCACATTTTAAAAACAGAGGGTTTGCCAAAGTGCTTCACAATGAACATAACATTATAATAAAATATAATATTACAAGAATAGATAAAAGGCACACATAAGATCCAATTTAATCGAATTCTCTTGTTATTACATTGCCAAATGATTGAATTCGGGTTAATCTATACGTTACGTGAACGGGGGTCCAAGTTTACATGACAATTGCCCCAGGGAAAAGACATTCGACGAAAGCTCTTCACAGCCGAGTCTAAAAGACAGGTCCATCTAACTGGAAAAAAAGACAACTTAAAAGAAAAATCTATACAAGTTCCCAGTAACCTTCGGAAAAAAGAAAGAAGGAAAAACATTTATTTAACACATCTTGACTTTGGAATCTCCGACTAATACAAATAACTGACCAATTTTTCATTGCATTTTTGTGTGTTTAAATAATTTTTGTAAGTTACAGTGACGTTATATGAATTAGATAAATAAAATGAAAAACTTAAAATTCATCTACAACCAAAGTATTTTTTAGATTTCAGACTTCAGGAGAAAGCCAAGTACGCACAAAATGCAATTTAAAAACATTTCTAGTGTAATTTTCGTATTAGCTCAATGGAGAGATTGCCGTTACCAAAGTCGGATACGTAACTCAACTAGTTCAGCGCTTCAGTCTGCACTTTCAGGGTAACCGGTAGTATCCAGTCATTTCATAGAGGATATGCGAACCTACACATTACGGGTAAAATGTGAGTCTGAATCCTTATACAAGTTTTGTCTGCGCGTTCGTTGCGCGCGAGGGGTACAGAATGTGTTAAGTACGCGGGAGGATTACTTTGTGAAAAGGTTTTCTCTTAAAATAATCTATGGTTCTTTTTGTGTAAACTGTCGCAGTTTTCATGATGGAGAAAAGGGAGTCAGACTCATACGTCATGGATGGAACAAGATCTGTACTTAATAACACTTATTTAGTAATCGACGGACAGCCAGTGAATATAGAGAGCCACACTCGGGAAATCATAGATAAGAATACACACAGATGTATTCTTTTCCGCTGAGAGGAG